TGATGACGACGAATCTTAAATGGTAGCGGTACACTTATTTATATTCTTCGCGATAATATATCCTTAATTATGCTTGAAGATTCTGCATACGCTTAAGAAATTAATATGTACAGAGTATAGAATGTATGCGTGTGTTCATGTATATATGTTATCATATAGGGTGTGTGTACACTAGTGTGCGCCTAATATTTAAAATAAAACGCTGCAGTAATATCGTACATTATATTTTAGAATATCGTCCCAAGTGTCCTGTTTAGGTTTTAGTGAGTTTTTGTACATTTGATCATGTTAGGTTAAGTTAGGTTAGTCAGGTTATTTGTATATGTGGATCAAAAGAATAATTCTTTAAAAGATTTATGGATAAATAGTGTGTAAATAATATGCACTTATCAACATTCATGAGTAGCATATTTCTTAATTTGATATTTTTAAATTAAAAATTTTTTAATTATCATGGTTCTAGATATTTAATTCTGAAAATTTGGACATTTGCAAATGTGAAAATTTGAAGTTCCTAAAGTTCTGTATTTTCAATTTATGAAATTATTAAATTTGTAAATTGAAAAAGTAATTTTTTTATATTTGTGAGTTTACCAATTTCCAAATGTATAACCTTGAAAATTTTGAAAGTAAAATATTTGGAGATCTGGACATTTGAAAATTTGATGTTACCAAGTTTCTAATTTTGCAAAATTCTAAATGTGTAGTAATTATTGCTTCTAAATTTAGAACTTTGGAGTATTGCACATTTGGTGGTTTGGAAATTTGGAATTTCAGAAGTTTAAAATTTGTAAACTTTCACATATTTATTCTTAAACTTTAGAATTTTAAATTTCTGAAATTTGTTAATTTAATCATTTACTATTTTTATATTTGCAAATTTTTAAGTTTTCAGATAACTGAATTCAACAATTTCTAAATTTCAGAACTTTTGAATTTCAATCTTTTATGGAAATTTTTTTTCTTTCTATGTTTATAATAGGCAAATTATGATTAATTTAATGTATTGCATTTAGAATTGATCAAAAGTCAGTAGGGTAAATAAACCCTACTAACAATAAGCCTGAAACATTAAACAATTACTAAATTATGAATAATTTAATTTTTATAAGTAATTTCAAAACCGTACATGAAGAAGATCAGTAACCCAACCAATAACATGATTAACGTGTAAAAGCTCATGAAAATCTGAAGGAGACACTCGTGACTTCCTTGTTAGTTTGTATACTTTTAATTACACCTATCGCACTACTATTTATACACAGATATGTTGTATCAATCTCTGGATTAAACTGTACCATTTAAAGGGCTGCATCAAAAAGGATTTCCTTATTTAACAACAAATCAAAACAATAAATAAAAATTTGTTGATAATACGCTTTTAACTCCTTCGATAATTATTTTTACAACAATGACGGATCCGAGAGTTACAAAATCTAATTTTGTATTTTTCAATTTTATTTGCGTTTTATTAAATTTTAATAAAGGAGACTGATGAGGATTAGTATATTTTAGATGGAAATAAAGAACAATAAGTAATCGTCTAATTAAAATATCTTTGACACTGTCACATTGCTGAACAAGAACAAATATTTTCCATAACATGCAAGAATAATATTATTAGTACTGTTGCAGTGACTGAAAATTTACAGTAATTATGGTTATTTTATTTTTTGCATTCATTTACAGATATTTGTAAATATTTCTGGTTCAAGCTCATGAAAAGGTCACGAAAACTTGAAGTCTCGGAAAATAGTATCCTCAGAAAAATTTGTTTATCTTTCATATTATTATTTCTTCGAATCATATAGTTTATCCTTTTTACATTTTTGCAAATCATTAATAACGAAGAAACTTTGGTGCAGAATTAGTGAAACACCCTGTTTAACTGTACCAATCCTCGCATTGCCTCCCCCATTTTTATATTCATTTCCTTATTCAATAAAATAAAGTAATTGTTTTTTCTTTTAATGCATGCAATTCATCTTAATGTAAATAATTCCTTTTAATGTTATTAGTGAATATAAATACTTTTGTACACTGTATAGATAATTCACAAGTAGTCGATTGTTCAGCTACAATATAAAAGTTAGGTTATGTCATTTCAAAATGTAAATATTTCGTTTTATACTGTATAAATAATTCATATGTATTCAATTGTTCAGTTACAACATAAAAGTGAGGTTATGTCATTCCAACTTATATTTAGTTTACCACGATATAATAAAAATAAATTAAAAATAATTTTGAAATTTAACCAAAAAGAAAGTAGTACTGCAAAAATGTTTATAAATCAAGAAAAGTTTTTGGATCCGTCGTAAGTTTTCATGGAAACAATTAACGTAAGGATAAAAGAGAATTTCGTAAGATTTAAAGCTGTAAATTGTAAATTTCGTTTCGATTTCGCTGTCTGCACCTCTCCGTGCAGCCCTTCGATTTCTTTCGGTGTCCCTCTGCGTATCGTGTCTATTTGACGAGGGTAAATTCTTCGAGAGAAGTGACCTTACGGGCATCGGTCAAACGAAAGAGCTCTCAGGAATTATTTAACTTTCTTTTTAACTCTCTATCAGTCCTTTCGGTCCGTTAATTAAGTACGTCGATAAAATTCGCCCGTCTTGTCATGAAGCGTTGATATTTCGCCTGGAAATAGCGCAATTAAGACGACTCGTTAACCCCCTCTCGATCTTCGAGATCCTTTCCCACTGTCAATAACTAAGTAACGTTATGGATAATAATTACTTCTCGTGAAAAGTTCTTTAAACATGCCTCAATTACGCTAATAACCTCGTACAAAGAATATTGTCGTTGAAATTGCGATAATAATCGTACTTGTCGTTTCATGGCTAAAGCTTTTTAATGAATCTTGACTGAAACAAGTGAAATCGAACGCTGACGTTCTGGGAGTTTCATATAAATTTCTGCTTAATTATCGATTTTTTTGTCGTTGTTGGACACGATAATGGATTCTTGAGATGTGCAATTTTGTTGAAGTGAAATGTAATTTATATGTACACGGTGTTGAGCGTTGTAGGTCTGTGTAGAAAAAGAGGCGATATAGGAGAAGGTTCCACTTGTCACGTGAAATTGCTACTGAAGGAAAAATTTGTTCTTTGTAAAGTTGTAATTTATTCAGTAAAGTTAGAATTAATTGTAATCTTTTTCCTATAGGGGTGTATTTGCATCCGTATTTCAAATAAAATTTGAAAATAATTATTTTTTTAGAAATCAATATTTCACAAACACGTAAGCAACAATTTTTTTGCATTTTGCATTGAAAATGCATGGGGTGTAATTACAATTTTGTGTGGAGTTAGTATTAATATATTATAATTGTATTAGTATTAATAAATTTAAAAATAGGATCATGAGATTATCATCCCTTTTATTTAATTATTTATGTATTAATTAAAATGTGTCGTGCAAATTTGGAATAATGCGTGGTAGATTGATCCCTAGATTCAAGTAACTTTCGAGTTTCCAAATTTGCACGTTTTCAAATTCTTTAATTCTCAAATTCCTGCATTTAAAGGTACTTAAATTTTCAAATTCTTAAATTCTCAAATTTCCCCATTTTCAAATTTTTAAATTCTCAAATTTTCTCATTCTTAAATTTTCAAGTTCACAAATTTTTAAAATTCCAAATTTTTCAACTTTCCATATTTTCAATTTATCTGTATCACCAAATTCTCAGATTGTTTGGATTCCTCAAATTTTCAAATTTCTAAATTTGCAAATTTACAAATTAGATAAATTAACAAACTTTTGTTTAAATCGTAAAATTTTGCAAATTCTGAAATTCTCAAATTTACAAATTTCCAGGTTTTTAAGTCTCTCAATATGTAAACTTCCAAATTTTTAGATTTCCAAATTTACAAGTATGTGAATTTGAAAATTTACTGAAATTCAATTAGTGATAGTTAATTTTTTATTATATTGCCGTTTTCTTTATGGAAATCTACAGTGTTCGTCAGCAAAATTATCTTGCAAAATTAAAACCGTATAAAAGGAATATCACATAAAGCGAAGGACCAATATAATAAAACAAGCTATGTAACTTTCTTCCCCTATATCGCCATTTTACCCAAGTAAATACGATTATCAGTAGGTGTGTATTTCCGACCTTGTCACTTGATTGTAACTTGCGTTTCGTACAGAATTAAACAAATCAGAAAATAATAAATTAAATATCTTTCGAAATTCGTAATAGTTATAGCTTGTATACAGTGGTGTGAAAAGAATATTCGGAACATCTCTTTAAAGTAAAATAAATATAAAAATACATTGTATTCAAATTTTTTATGTATAATTCTGTTAATTATTGAATATTACAGATATACTGACATAATTCTATTTTAGAAAATAATATTCAGTAAAATATAATCATGTATCAATGGAAGAAATTAATAATTCCATTTGCAAGGGTTTATTTATGAACAGTTACATTTATTATTAATATTAGAGATATTTTAATATGATTGGTATTCTAATTTTTCAAGTCTTGAATAAAGAATATGTAGTAAATTATAATTACTTATTAATGCAGCATCAAAAAGTATTCCCGTCATTCAAAATGACGCCATATTGGTGGCTATCTTATTCTGTTCAAATTGCAATCTTGCTAACATTCTACACTGTACTATGTTCTAAAATAGTGTAAAGTTAAGGTAAAAAATATTTGTGAGCGTAGTAAAAATAATATTAAAGCAAAGAATACAAACATTAGTATTGAATCATTGTAATATTTCAGCAACATTGTTAATGACGTTAATTCATAATCATTGTTGATGAATAAAAGAAAAAATATTACAATGTATTGCAGGTATATTAGCATTAAAAAGATCTATGATTTACAACATATAGAAGACATTTCCAAAAAAGCAATTTTTGTCTCCTATTCATTCACAAATAATTCATTTACCATTTATTAATATTCATTTGCAAAAACAATTTAATCTTAACCAGAAGATAACAGAATTATTCGTAAATAAACCCATCACAAACCAAAATATTCTTCTATTTATCATAAAATGAAAAATCTTCCAAACCATCCTTCACACCACTGTAATTCTGAAACGAGGAGGATAATCCTCCCTCAGATCACTGACATAAACGCGAAAGGACCAATCACGATTTCCCGTCGAACTGATTGAAACGCGACACAAAATTGTGTAGATCGAACTCATCGTTCGATAAAAGTCTTTCGATTCGAGTCGATTGTATCAAGGTTCAGCAAATTGGCTCCGTCAAGGGTTGCGGAGGACCATAAGGCGATGTCCATTGACCTACGGGATGGGTTAGGGCCGTGGGTGGTTGCTGTCTGTCCAAACTGGAAACGGTGGTTCCTGCTGGATGGCTGGGTACCGTTGCTGGATGATAAGCTACCTTTCCAAGAGCTTCGGCTTGAAGGGACAGCATTAACCGATTCGCTGCTTGCCTTTCAGCCTCCCTTTCTTCAGCCGTTTGTCTCCTGAAACAAACAGGAGACTGAAAATGATAGAGTGTTTATATTCATGGCGATAAAGTAGCTATTTATTTTTCATTGATTATATTTATTGCCATATCTTATCAAATTTTATATTTTTCTCCTTGTACTTTATGATTATCGCTGATAATGTTATTCTTTCTTTTATGTTTTTTAAGATGTGTAGGGTGTTTCTGAAATCGCAGTGTTTATTTGTTTTTTTAATAATTATAGTAATTTTGATAGTATTTATAGTAATTGTAGTAATATAACGTAGAGCTGATTCTACTTGAGAAAATCATGTTACAATAAGTTTATGTATTAAGGAAGTTTTGTTAATCTTATGATTGCAAAATTAGGCCTCGAAGTTTGATTACGTAAACGATCATATTTTCTATCAATTCAATGGGTTCACAAAATTGTTTGAGGCAAATTCGTATGTTCATACAGGTGCTATCATTCTATGCTAAGGGCGATTTCACCCTTTACTCTAAATTGTATCTGAAGATTACTTCTTCTGTCCTAAATTGTACTAAAAGGTTTCTTCTTAACACGTTGACTGCTCTACTGAAGCAGTTGAAAATTTGATTAGGTAGTCATTTTGTTTGTAACAAATTTTACCGTATATTTCCACAATATGTTAATATAAGTATTTTCAACCAGAAAGTAACAAATTCTTAATAATATATGAGGGAACGCGAACATGGATGAACGAATATGGATCTCACGTGCGAGTGAGAGAGTGCAAGAGAATATGCGTGGAAATGTGTGAGAGAGTGAGAGTACGAACGAGGGCGGGTGAGTACGTGTGCATGTGCAAAAGAATGCGTGAAAATAACAAAAGAAGTGTGCATGGCCAAAAGGCAATCGACGACAGGATTAGACATGTTTCGGACGCGTTCCTATATGGACGTATTACGCAATTCCTTCTTGATTCATTGTTTATTATACTAAATTCATTATTCTTTATATTAAATTAATTATTTGCTAAAAGCGGAGCCATTTCTCAATTAGATCATCCCTCCGATCTATTCCTACATATTATATGATAGATTCGTATGAAAATTTAAGCGTCGCCTAACCTAACCTAAATGTTCTGACGTGGCAATTAAAATATTAAACTGTTCAAAATTATACGTAAAGATGTCGTCTTAAAGTGTCCTAAATCGTATCTCAAAATTTCTTTCTAAAGTGTCTTAAAGTATCCTAAAATGTTATAAAAGATTTCTTCTGAAATTATTCTAATTCATATGTAAAATATGAAAACAAGTGTCGATTGCATTTCGTTTGCTTGTCATTACGTTGAAGTGTATACAGTATATCCTATCCGTGATATATCAGTTTGATCAAATAGCAGAAAGCTGAGAGGGGCGGATAAAGCAGGGAACGAGACTGGAGAAATCGACCGGGAGAAAGAGGGGGTGAAAAGAGACTGGCGGTTGTTGGGGTGGAAAACAGAAGAGAAACGTAATAAAGTTAATTCGATTCGTCGATGGTAGAGCTAGCTCGCTAAGGGGTAGCTCGAGGGTGTCTGTTTTCTAGCACAAAGTCTATTAGGGAACCACAAAATGGCTGACTCGTTGGTTACGTCGATAGCTCTGCTTAAATGGGATATTTTACCAAACATTTTTACGAGATATGTACATTTATGAGATATGTACCGGTGTATAATGTACACTTATTTTGAAGTTAAAAACGAAGTTAAAAAGTAGACAAACAGATGATAGAACAGAAATTATTGTATACGTTAATTCTTTACCTCTATAAACATTATCGGCTTCATTTTATTCATATAATATTAGTATTATATGTATCAATTTGTTATTTACGATGTATTACAGCATTTAGTATTAGTTCATTCATTTTTGACAGTGGGAATATTAAATGTCATTATACTGATTATTTAATTTTAAACACAGGTAGAGTTAATTTAAAACGAAGAATGTAAGCAAATGAAGAAACGATAAAACATAAATTAGTACACACAGTAATTTTTGTAATACTTAACATATATAATAATAGATATATATGTATAAATACAAACATAATAGTGTGCTCTGTTATCCGCGGATTTCAATATTTACGAAAGACCCTGCTACCACTCCTCCACAAATAAAAGATCTTGCTTTACACCTTTATTCTTCATTGCATTCATTCCAATTCGTTACCAATTCGAAATTTATTAACTCTAAAATTTAGTAATTCTAGCATCGATCAAATTAATTGATACTATTTTCATCAAAAATATTGATTTGCGATCAAAAATTGCTATAAAAATTGATCTTCTAATCCGGCCTCTTAACTTGGCCTTCTAAACAGAAAATGAGAATCCCTGCGTAATTTTTGGTGGCCATTTAAAAATGAGGGAACCAAAATTCTTGGCGAAGCGGATCAAACCGAAAAGTTCTTCGGTCAGAAAGGCGCCAGGCTGGATAACAGGGCCAATCAGCGACTCGCTTTCTATACGAGCCACGAAACACCGTCATTCCATTAGAGTTAATCTCCAGTCGTCGGTAATTAAACGGTTTCGTTGTACCTTTGTTTATCTCCGCGAGAAGCTGTTCCCATCCTCTTCTTCTTCCTCTTCTCGTTGCCTTCGTTCGATTTCTTAAGAGGAAGGCACGTTGCCCCCTCGGTAGCCCGTGTATCACGGAACGAGTCGGTTCAATCGGGACACAACTCGATCGGTTGTTGCACGATTAACGACTAGAACAGCCGCCGATGTCGAGCAAAGATTTCAGATAAAATCCACATCTCGGCTGCAATCAACCACTCGATCGTTTATTTGTCGCTTCGTTACCATGCCCCGGGTAATTGTAAGAAACTCGCGGCCTTATCTGCTGCTGGCTTTTGCTGCCGATTTATGGATTTTACCCTGATGACAGTGCGTTATTAAACGGTTCTGATACCATATCGGAATTGAAAAACGAGGACCTTCGCAAGAATGTCTTTGAATCATAAACACAGTTATACACTGTTCTAAAGCAGTCGTTGATACGCTTTTATTCGAAATGATATTTCCGAAAGCAGTAAAAGTATATTTGGTGACGAGCGATAACTTTGAAATGGTGTAAAATGCGTGAGAATATTAACATCCTCGGGAATGGTACTTTTTCTGCGATTGAACAGGTTTAACTGCTTGGATGAAAAGATTAACAGTGTCTTACATTGAAGAAGTCAAGTAGCGTTATTTTTTTGGTTTTAAAAGTGTACGCTCATACGTTTATAAATGCAATGTTTTATTATGTAGTAGGTTTTAATGGATATACGATGTAGGGAGATAAAGGGTGCTCGTTGATTTTTAAGATGTTAATTTTTAATAACACATTTATAATGAAGAAATTTCCAGTTGCAAGTTATTTTTGCGACCATTTAAAACACGAATTTTTTAAATTGGAGAATTTGAGGTATTTAAGGAATGTAACAAAACTAGATGCTTCAAAACATGGAACTTAAATCTCTGTTCCACATATGAGACTTATGTCTTAAGACATTAGTTACATTTTATTATATACTGTAACTAATCAATATATCCAGTGTTAATACCATCGTTAAACTAACTAAAGTCTATCACATATTTATAATAAGTTTCTTGAATATAACAATCTATTCACCCATTGTAAATCGAGCGCAATTTAAAACAGAGATCTATAATTTCGAATCTGCGAAAGTTAATTACATGTATCGTTAAAGAATGGGATCGTAATAATTTGTGGAAACTGGTTCCTTTACGCAACGCGTGTGGATTTGTAAAGACCGGTGGCACTCAGCCAGCGTGTCTCCTCACGAATTACGGCGAGATTCGACCTATCGAACATCAGAAAGTACCTCGTTAATCTGACTTTTTTGCTTTCGTTCTCGGGTCGACTGTGTCTACCTGGACTTCCTGTAATTTTCTCTGGCCGATATCAGTTTCATGTTTTACCGATACCTTTGTCTCGTGAAACTCTTCACACGAAACCGAGGGAACAAAGTATTCGGCTATCGGTCATTTCTTGAAATTTACTTTCCTTTTGAGAACCGTTCGATTACGTGAAGGTTAAATGAACACATCGTCCCACTTTTTCGATTATGAAATAAGTATATTTTCATAAAAATACAAAGACATTTGACAACTTTAGTTTTAAATGAATTAATGTGGTGAAAATGTCAAGATGAAATATGGTTTTACAAGTTTCTGTTTTATTTACGAAGGTTAAGATTTTATTGAAATCTGTGCTGATTTTCATTGAGATAAAGGATTTTGTACATTGAATCTTGGAATTTGTAGATTTAGGGATTTGGGGATTTAGTGATTTAGGGATTTGAGGATTTAGGGATTTAGGGATTTAGGGACTAAGGGATTTAGGGATTTAGGGATTTAGGGACTAAGGGATTTAGGGATTTAGGGATTTAGGGACTAAGGGATTTAGGGATTTAGGGATTTAGGGACTAAGGGATTTAGGGATTTAGGGATTTAGGGACTAAGGGATTTAGGGATTTAGGGATTTAGGGACTAAGGGATTTAGGGATTTAGGGATTTAGGGACTAAGGGATTTAGGGATTTAGGGATTTAGGGACTAAGGGATTTAGGGATTTAGGGATTTAGGGACTAAGGGATTTAGGGATTTAGGGATTTAGGGACTAAGGGATTTAGGGATTTAGGGATTTAGGGACTAAGGGATTTAGGGATTTAGGGATTTAGGGACTAAGGGATTTAGGGATTTAGGGATTTAGGGATTTAGGGATTTAGGGATTTAGAGATTTGGGGATTTAGGGACTAAGGTTTTTAGAGATTTAGGGATTTGGGGATTTAGGCATTTAGGGATTTGGGGATTTAGGAATTTGGGGATTTGGGGATTTAGGAATTCAGGAATTTGAGGATTTAGGGATTTAGGGATTTGGATTTGGGGATTTGGGGATTTGGGGATTTGGGGATTTGGGGATTTGGGGATTTGGGGATTTGGGGATTTGGGGATTTGGGGATTTGGGGATTTGGGGATTTGGGGATTTGGGGATTTAGGAAT